ATTCTCTGGATAGCCAAAACAATTGACTCAATTTTTATTTTATTGTATTAAAATTTTTTCTTTCAATTTTCAGATTCAATATATTCTATGTTCCTAGCTGTTTGGGAAATCAAAGTCTCTTAAGACACGGACTATGCCCTTCAGATTCTTACAATGTAGTTTGTCTATTTATTCAACACAACTTTGCCAGATGTTTTATTGAAGAGTAATATATTTATATGAGAAAACACAAAATATGACATAATTTAAGTCATAAAATATTTGGTACTCTTGTCAGTGGCTATGGAAGATGAGTGAGAAGAGTGTAATGTAATGGAAAGAGCACACTATCTAGCCTAAAACTTTGTTAATGAAAGAATGATCCACATGGATCAGCAATGCCAGTGCTACCAGGAGCTTGTTAGAAATGCAGACTCTCAGAACCCAACCTATACTTACCAAATTAGAATCTGCATCTTAACAAATCTTCAATTAAGCTTGGAAAAGCACTGCTCAAGAACAATTGGATTATTACTTACATGTTTAGTCTATAATATATTTTCTTCCAAACTGTGAAACCCTGAATTTTCTTTTTTTAAATTTTAAATTTTTTAAAATTTTTACTCAAGTATAGTTGATTTACAATGTTGTGTTAATTTCTGATGTATAGTAAAGTGATTCAGTTATATCTATATATACATTCTTTTTTTAATATTCTTTTCCATTATGGTTTATCACAGGATATTGAATATAGTTCCCTGTGCTACACAATAGGATCTTGTTGTTTATCCTTTCTATATATAATAGTTTACATCTGCTAACCCCAATCTCCCACTCCATCCCTCCCCCAACCCCCTCCCTGTTGGCAACCATATGTCTGTGAGTCTGTTTCTGTTTCATAGATAGGTTCATTTGTGTCATTTTTTAGATTCCACATATAAGTGATATCATATGGTATTTGTCTTTCTCTTTCTGACTTACTTCCCTTAATATGATAATCTCTAGTTGTATCCATGTTGCTGCAAATGGCATTATTTCATTCTTTTTTATAGCTGAGTAGTATTCCATGGTACAATATATATGTACCACATCTTCTTTATCCATTCATCTGTTGATAGACATTTAGGTTATTTCCATGTCTTGGATATTGTGAATAGTGCTGCTATGAACATAGGGGTGCATGTTTCCAAATGATCATGAGTATCGACATACTAAAGATGTTGGTAGTAATGCAGGGATGGCTTTGTTGAATTTTGTTTACACTATATTTTGCTTTCACAATGACTTTATTATGTGTATGCAAGCATGTGCACATACACACACACAGAGATATATATTTTTTCTGGGCTCTTAGGCCCACTGCTAAAAGCAGTAGTATGCAGTATACATAATTACCATGTTTTTTGAATTAGATGTTATGGGAGATGAAAAGGTAAATAACATAGTCTCTTGACCCAGGGAAGAAGTCTTCTGGAGAAAAGATCTACCAGACATATGAATAAATAAATAAATGCAATGTTAGAGGAACAATAAAAAAGATGACATTAAAAATACTCCATGGATCTTGCATTTTAAAATCAATTCTACTAAGATACCATTTATATACAATAAAATGCAACCATTTTTAAAAAAGAACACTTGGATTTAAGTCCTTTTGGAGCCACTTATAAGTGAGCACAAATACCTCTCTGATGACAATGATTAATATCAGCTTCACAGGCTCATAATAAGGTTAAATTGAAGATAATGCATGTGAAACCCTTTATAAATTACCAAGTAATACACACATCAAAGTTATCTGTATTTTCAGCAAAACTTTCACGATAATCTGTGTAATAGGCAAGCAATCTGAATATCTCTTTTGGTCCCTGGCTTCTACTTAGCTAAACTTTCTCTCTCTCTCATAAGGACACATTATTTTTTTTTTGCAGTACGCAGGCCTCTGTCGGCACCTCTCCTGTTGCAGAGCACAGGCTCTGGACGCGCAGGCTCAGCGGCCATGGCTCACGGGCCTAGCCGCTCCGTGGCATGTGGGATCTTCCCAGACCGGGGCACGAACCTGTGTCCCCTGCATTGTCAGGTGGACTCTCAACCACTGCACCACCAGGGAAACCCATAAGGACACATTTTTTAAACTACATTCCTGGGTTCTTTTCTGAGGTGTTTTTACTTCTGTTTTTGTTTTTTCCACTTTAGAACTCCTGAGCCATTCTACTTCTCCTGGAAGAGTCAGTAAGATCTTCTTTAAAAAAAACCCTTTATCAATTAAGACTTAACAATTAACTATTATCATTAATATAGACAATTATTTAATATAAAAAAATCATACTCAAAAGTGATCACATACTTAAGCTCAGGAAATAGGAGTAATCTCTCACAAAATATATGGGATTCTAATTTGTTAGAAATTCAGAAGCATGTGGAGATTTAATTTTTGTAATATTAATCTTGTATCCCATTGGAATGTTGGTACGAGGCAAACAATATCTGATTCAGTCTGCCAAGCTATTCCCCCTCCACTTCTCACTACATAATGTACTTCAAAGACACAAAACATTAACAATTCATACCATCACTTACAACTAAGATTGATGGTTAACCCAGTTCCAAACTATGGAGCAATTTCCTACTAACCACAAGGCTTAGAGGTCAGAATTAAGAGTTACAATTGCTGACCAAAGTATTTTTCCTTTCAAATAGTTTATTTCCAAAGAATCACATACAGAATATTTAAGGATTAACATACCAGTTTTTCTAGTTATTTGTTGCTTTTGGTAGGGTGGAAAGATGGAGGAAGAGGCAAAGGCTGCCACGTTACATGTGTTTGAGACAAGCTTGTAGTTGATACAATTTCTAGTTGAAAAAAATATTTTAAATTCGGATAATTAAGTTTCATGTCAAAAAGTTTATTTTAGTTGTAAATATTAAAATGACAACTAGTTCACATATTTTGTCTTCGTCTGGGACATAGTAGGGGTAATTGATATACTTAGAACTTGTACTTCTTAAAAAGTTAGGTACATAATGCTCATTGTTATCATTCATGCCCCCCCCCCAAATATAACTTGTGGGAAAACATTGACTCACAAGCTGCTTTATTATCTAGAATTTATTCACTGTTTATTAATTCAAAAGGAAGTGAGTGCATCCCCATTGCATCTGACTTTTTCTATGACATTTATGTTATCCAGTTATTGTGACATAAAAAGCAAATATGTTCATATTATATAATGCATTTGATTGGGGTGACATTGTTAGATGCTATCTATGTTTATTAAGTCATCTGCAATTTTTTCAATACCACTAAGTGATAGGTGAGGGCTAGCAAATTGGATTACTCATATTTGGAGAATCAAAGGATATATTTAATGTTTAATTTTTCTTAAGAGACATGTTTATTTAATCTAAATGTTATACAGTGACTTTCATAATTGCTTCCAAGATTTTTCTCTCTTTGGAACCTGAAATTTTACAACTATGTTAATTAATAACAATGTTTTGCAGTTCTGTGGCACCTTTTTGTCTGAGAATCTCAGTGTTTACTTAATGTTCATCATATCTTTGGGGAGATGTGATTCTGTGATGTTTTCTTTTCTACTTTTTTTTTTTTAAATACAAATAGTGCATTAATTCAAAGTCCCCACATTTTGTCCAGTAATTCATTTGCGTGGTACATTGTGCAAATAAAAAGAGGATCTCACTCAGCTGTTCTCAGGGAGCCTGAATGGGCCCTAATTACTATCCTGCTTGCATTTGGTGAAGGTGCAACTGGAGTCATTAGTAAGCATGCAAAAGCATTTCATAGGCTTCTTGGAGGTAAAGATCATGCTTTTACCTTCTTTTATTTTTCACATCATAGGTATAACCAAAGTCACTGTGAACTCCAAATATACACATTCTACAGGATAATGGAATGATAAATTTGTAGGCTAAGATGAACTACAGTCATGGAGAACTTTGAGAACTACAGATTAAGGCTAGATTCCTTGTGTTAGCAACCTACTGTTGCATAACAAATTACCACAAACTCAGAGGCTTCAAACAACACACATTTATTATCTTATAACATCTGTGGGTCCAAAGTTTGGGGACAACTTAACTGAGTTCTCTGCTTAGTATCTCAAAAAACTTCAACCAAATTGTTAGCCGGGCTATGTTCACATCTGGAGGCTGACGGGGGATAAATTCACTTCCAAGCTTACTCATGTTGTCAAAAGATTTCATTTCCTTTTGGTTGTAGGACTGAGGACCCTGGCTAGTTGCTGGCTGTTGGATGGAGATCACTTCCAGAACATAGAGACCACTCTCAGCTCCTTGCCAGGTGGGCCTTCCAATATGGTCACTTTTTCAAAGTTAGCTAGGGAAACAGACTCTGGAATGAATCTACTAAAAAGGCACAGTCTTATAAATGTAATACAAACATAGGAGTGACATCCCTTCACCTTTGCCATTTTCTACTAGGTAGAAGCAAGTGAAAGGCTTTTCCCACACTCAATGGAAGACAATTGCACAAGGCCATGAGCATGAGGAGGTGGGGATTATAAGGACCACTGTAGAGTCTGCTCACACTACTCTTTAACCTGCCTATATTGACTGAGATTAGGGAAAGCTGCAGATAGTGGGAAAGCTAAGTTAATAGTTACTAAAGCAAAATAGAACTTTATTTTTCTCTCATGTGTAAAAAGAGGAAGATAAATCCAGAAGAAGGCATGTCATGACTGATATGGCAGTCCCTCCTGTTCATCTCGGGCCTATACTCTCTCTTTGTCCTGTGCAATTTTTAATATATCTTTCAGTCACAGCTTCTAGTCTTAAGGTCACCTCATGGTTCAGTATGGCTATTGATACTTATAGTCATCACCAGCATAAAGGAGTAAAAGTAGATGGAAAAGATGTTCAACCCAGCTGAAACAGTTCCCATAGCCTTCCTGTATAGTCCACAAAATAGTCCATCAATTTGGACAAAACTTACATATAGCTGAGGGTTACATATAGCTTAGTTACACAAAGCTGAAAGGGAGGTTGAAAAATGTAGTCTTTAGATGAAGCTACTGTTGCCCCAATTAAATCAGGGTTCTTTTACTAAAGAAGAAAATAAGCATAGTTATCAGGTAGTAACTTGCTATTTCTGCCATGCTGGCATTGAAAGCTCCTTATAAGCTTGCACTGACAAAATGTTGAACCTCACTGTCCAGTACTAACCTGCTATGGAAACCATGCACCTGGGTCTGCATTCAGCCACCCCTAGACAGAGAAACTATGTTGATCTCTTCCTGTGCTAGTCCAGGTGTCTTCACCATGGAATGTTCCATACATTGACTCTCCCATCTTTGCCAGAGTTCCTGCATTGGTAACATGTGCAGTGAATCAATCAATAGTGCTTGGGCTGTGCTTTGTTTTGACTAACTCCATCCTTCATCTTCAACCCTTGGATCCCAAAGCTCTTGAGTTGGAATCCTGGCCTAGTGCCTGCCTCCTTTCTACTGTGTGATTTATTATCTGCTCTGGAATCTGCATCACTGTGCACTGGCTTCATTTCAGGACACAGATCACTTCCTTTTGTGCCAGGTCCTTGTTTGGGTGAGTCATGTTCTCCATTCCCATGCTCTTGGTTACCATGCTATTCTGTCAGCTACAGCTGTGACTCACTCCAGTGTCTGCCATGTCTCATTGTCTGGGTATAGTTTACAGTTTATCTACCTGCAGCCTCAGCCTGCCACTCCTACAGCAATAATCCATGCCATACCAGAGGTTGAACAGCTGGCAGTACTAGCCTAGGTGTGTGGTAGGTACTTGGTAAATATTTGAAATGGGTTTAATGAGTACTGCATTTTAGGAGAAGATTCTTTGATCTTACTAATGCCAGCTTCCCTCACAAACTCAGGTTATGCTTTTTTCTTCTCCAAAAATATTCCAGTACAAGTCTAAAAGCATTTAGGTCTCAGGCAATGGTCTTGGGACCTAACGTTGTCAATTCCCCAAATAATTTGGGTGGGAATCTCAATGAGTGGTGAAGTATTGGAGGTGGTGGTGTTTAGCGCTTTGAGTCCCCAGGAATATGGCTGCTGAGGTTGTGATTGTCAGGACAAAGGGAAGGGAAATCAGAATTCTGTTGAGCTGCCTGGGTCTGCTGCCCAACCTTTTCATTTCCCATTGTTGCCTCAAATCTCCTTTCTTCTTACTCTTCCACCACTGTTGCTGGAGATCCTACAAATGTTTTACTCCCGTCGAATTTCACTCTGTTATATGATTGCCTTAGTTTATCCCACTCTCCAAGTTCATCTCCCTGCCCCAATGTCTGACCCACATTGACCCGTAGGTTCCTAGTATGAAGTTGCAAGTATAGTGGCAAAAAATCTCACCCTCTCCACTCAAAACAGTTAGGACATCACAGTCTCAGTTTTAATTCACACTACAAATATTTATGAAACCTTGCCTTGTGTAAGACACTGTTCTTGGGGTTTGGGAGACAAGGCTGAATGAAAGAATGTCCTTAATCTCAAGTCATTTATGATCTAGAGAAAGACAGAAACAATGAACAGGGAAATGAATGGACAGACAGGAAAACATCACGTAATGATAAATGCATTGCAGGGAATTAAAATAAGCTATTGTATTAGTGAGTGACTTAGGTTTAAATAGTTAAGAAAGACCTCTGAAAAATTAAAATATGTGTCGGGAGAGACCTTCAAGATGACAGAGGAGTAAGATGGGGAGATCACCTTCCTCCCCACAAATAAATCAGAAATACATCTACATGAGGAACAACTCCTACAGAACACCTACTGAACACTGACAGAAGACCTCAGACTTCCCAGAATATATATGTATTTTTTTCCTTTTGCTCTTTTTGTGAGTGTGTATGTGTGTGCTTCTTTGGGTGATTTTGCCTGTATAGCTTTGCTTTCACCATTTGTCCTAGGATTCTGTCTGTCCTTTTTTTTTTTTTTATAGTATAGTTTTTAGTGCTTGTTATCATTGGTGGATTTGTTTTTTGGTTTGGTTGCTCTCTTCTTTCTTTCTGTCTTATTTTTTTCCTTTTTTTTTTTTTTGCGGTACACAGACCTCTCACTTTTGTGGCCTCTCCTGTTGTGGAGCACAGGTTCTGGACGCGCAGGCTCAGCGGCCATGGCTCATGGACCCAGCCACTCCACAGCATGTGACATCTTCCCAGATCAGGGCACGAACTTGTGTCCTTTGCAACGGCAGGCGGACCCTCAACCACTGTGCCACCAGGGAAGCCCTTTTTTTCCCTTCTTTTTTTAATAACTTTTTAATTTTTAATAATTTTTTCTTATTTTAATAACTTTCTTTTTTCTTTCTTTCTTTCTTTCTTTCTTTCTTTTTCTTTCTCCCTTTTCTTCTGAGCCATCTGCTGACAGGATCTTGGTGCTCAGGCCGGGTGTCAGACCTGTGCCTCTGAGGTGGGAGAGCTGAGTTAGGGACATTGGTCCACCAGAGACCTCCTGGCTCCATGTAATATAGAAAGGCAAAAGCTCTCCCAGAGATCTCCATCTCAATGCTAAGACCCAGCCCCACTTAACGACCAGCAAGCTACAGTGCTGGACACCCCATGCCAAACAGCTAACAAGACAGGAACACAACCCCACCCATTAGCAGAGAGGCTGCCTATAATCTTAATAAGGTCACAGACACACCAAAATATACCACTGGACACAGTCCTGCCCACCAGAAAGACTAGATCCAGCCTAATCCAACACAACACAGACACCAGTCCCCTCCACCAGGAAGCCTACACAACCCACTGAATCAACCTTAGCCACTGGGGGCAGACACCAAAAACAACGAGAACTACAAACATGCAGCCTGCAAAAAGGAGACCACAAACACATTATGTTAAGCAAAATGAGAAGAAAGAGAAACAGACAGCAGATGAAGGAGCAAGGTAAAAACCCACCAGACCAAACAAATGAGGAGGAAATAGGCAGTCTACCTGAAAAAGAATTCAGATTAATGAAAGTAAAGATGATCCAAAATCTTGGAAATAGAATGGAGAAAATATAAAAAAACATTTAACAAGGACCTAGAAGAACTAAAGAGCAAACAAACTATGATAAACAACACAATAAATGAAGTTAAAAATTCTCTAGAAGGAATCAATAGCAGAATAACTGAGGAAAAAGAACGTATAAGTGACCTGGAAGATAAAATAGTGGAAATAACTACTGTAGAGCAGAATAAAGAAAAAAGAATGAAAAGAACTGAGGACAGTCTCAAAGACCTCTGGGACAACATTAAATGCACCAACATTCGAATTAAAGGGGTCCCAGAAGAAGAAGAGAAAAAGAAAGTGACTGAGAAATACTTTGAAGAGATTATAGTTGAAAACTTCCCGAATATGGGAAAGGAAATAGTCAATCAAGTCCAGGAAGTGCAGAGAGTTCCATACAGGATAAATCCAAAGAGAAATAAGCCAAGACACATTTCAATCAAACCATCAACAATTAATCACAAAGAAAAAATATTAAAAGCAGCAAGGGAAAAGCAACAAATAAACTACAAGGGAATCCCCATAAGGTCAACAGCTGATCTTTCAGCAGAAACTCTGCAAGCCAGAAGGGACTGGCAGGACATATTTAAAGTGATGAAAGGGAAAAACCTATAATCAACATTACACTACCCAGCAAGGATCTCATTCAGATTAGACAGAGAAATTAAAAGATTTACAGGCAAGCAAAAGCTAAGAGAATACAGCACTACCAAACCAGCTTTACAACAAATGTTAAAGGAACTTCTCTAGGCAGGAAACACAAGAGAAGGAAAAGACTTCCAATAACAAACTCCCCAAAATTAAGAAAATGGTAATAGGAACATACATATTGATAACTATCTTAAATGTAAATGGATTAAATGCTCCCACCAAAAGACATAGACTGGCTAAATGGATACAAAAATAAGACCTGTATATATGTGGTCTACAAGAGACCCACTTCAGACCTAGGGATGCATACAGACTGAAAGTGAGGGGATGGAAAAAGATACTCCATGCAAATGGAAATCAAAAGAAAGCTGGAGTAGCAATTCTCATATCAGACAAAAAAGACTTTAAAATAAAGACTATTACAAGAGACAAAGAAGGACACTACATAATGATCAAGGGATCAATCCAATAAGATATAACAGTTGTAAATATTTATGCACCCAACATAGGAACACCTCAATTCATAAGGCTAATGCTAACATCCATAAAAGGGGAAATCAACAGTATTACAATCATAGTTGGGGACTTTAACACCCCACTTTCACCAATGGAGAGATCATCCAGAATGAGAAAAAATAAGGAAACACAAGCTTTAAGTGATACATTAAACAAGGTAGAGTTAATTGATATTTATAGGACATTCCATCAAAAACAACAGAATACAATTTCTTCACAAGAGCTCATGGAACATTCTGCTGGAGAGATCACACCTTGAGTCACAAATAAAGCCTTGGTAAATTTAAGAAAACTGAAATTGTATCAAGTCTCTTTTCCGACCACAATGCTGTGAGACTAGATATCAATTACCGGAAAAAAAATCTGTAAAAAATACAAACACATGGAGGCTAAACAATACACTACTAAATAACCAAGAGGTCACTGAAGAAATGAAAGAGGAAATCAAAAAATGCCTAGAAACAAACGACAATGACAACATGACAACCCAAAACCTATGGGATGCAGCAAAAGCAGTTCTAAGAGAGAAGATTATAACAAAATAATCCTACCTCAAGAAACACCTCGGAAAGCAACCTAACCTTACACCTAAAGCAATTAGAGAAAGAAGAACAACAAAAAGACCCCCAAAAGTTAGCAGAAGGAAAGAAATAATAAAGATCAGATCAGAAATAAATGAAAAAGAAATGAAGGAAACGATAGTAAAGTTCAGTAAAACAAAGAGCTGATTCTTTGAGAAGATAAATAAAATTCATAAACCATTAGCCAGACTCATCAAGAAAAAAGAATTGCTAGACTCATCAAATTAATAGAATTAGAAATGAAAAAGGAGAAGTAACAACTGACAAGGCAGAAATACAGAGGATCAGGAGAGATTACCACAAGCAACTATATGCCAGTAAAACGGAAAACCTGGAAGAAATGCACAAATTCTTAGAAAAGCACAATCTTCCAAGATTGAACCAGGAAGAAATAGAAAATATAAACAGACCAATCAGAAGCACTAAAATTGAAACTGTGATTAAAAATCTTCCAACAAACAAAAACCCAGGCTTCACAGGCGAATTCTATAAAAGTTTAGAGAAGAGCTAACACGTAACCTTCTCAACTATTCCAAAATATAACAGAGGGAGGAACACTCCCAAACTCATTCTATGAGGCCACCATCACCTTGATACCAAAACAGACAAAGATGTCACAAAGAAATAAATCTATAGGCCAATATCACTGATGAACATAGATGCAAAGTTCCTCAACAAAATGCTAACAAACAGAATCCAACAGCACATTAAAAGGATCATACACCATGATCAAGTGAGGTTTATCCCAGGAATGCAAGGATTCTTCAATGTACACAAATCAATCAATGTGATAAATCATATTAACAAATTGAAGGAGAAAATCCATATGATTATCTCAATAGATGCAGAAAAGCTTTTGAGAATATTCAAAACCCATTTATGATAAAAACCCTCCACAAAGTAGGCATAGAGGGAACTTACCTCAACATGATAAAGGCCATATATGACAAACCTACAGCCAACATCGTTTTCAATGGTTAAAAACTGAAACCATTTCCTCTAAGATTAGTAACAGGACAAGGTTGCCCACTCTCACCACTGTTATTCAACATAGTTTTGGAAGTTTTAGCCACAGCAATCAGAGAAGAAAAAGAAATAAAAGGAATCCAAATCAGAAAAGAAGAAGTAAAGCTGTCACTTTTTGCAGATGATATGATACTATACATAGAGAATCCTAAAGATGCTACCAGAAAACTACTAGAGCTAATCAATGAATTTGGTAAAGTAGCAGGATACAAAATTAATGCACAGAAATCTCTGGCATTCCTATACACCAAGGATGAAAAATCTGAAAGAGAAATTAAGGAAATACTCCCATTTATCTTTGCAAGAAAAAGAATATAATATCTAGGAATAAACCTAGCTAAGGAGACAAAAGACCTGTATGCAGAAAACTATAAGACACTGATGAAAGAAATTAAAGATGATACTAATAGATGGAGAGATATACCATGTTCTTGGATTGGAAGAATCAACATTGTGAAAATGACTATACTACCCAAAGCAATCTACTGATTCAGTGCCATCTCTATCAAACTACCAATGGCATTTTCCACAGAGCTAGAACAAAATATTTCACAATTTGTACGGAAACACAAAAGACCCTGAAGAGCCAAAAAAATCTTGAGAATGGAAAATGGAGCTGGAGGAATCAGGCTCCTGGACATCAGGCTATACTACAAACCTGTAGTAATCAAGACAGTATGGTACTGGCACAAAAACAGAAATATAGATGAATGGAACAGGATAGAAAGCCCAGAGATAAACCCATGCACATATGGTCACCTTATCTTTGATAAAGAAGGCAAGAATATACAATGGGGAAAAAACAGCTTCTTCAATAAGTGGGGCTGGGAAAATTAGACAACTACATGTAAAAGAATGAAGTTAGAACATTCCCTAACATCATATACAAAAAGAAACTCAAAATGGATTAAAGACCTAAA